AGCTGAAAGAACTAAAGAAAAAATTCAAGCCTTGAGTTGTAAAACCAAAGGATTCTGTGGGCAAAATACTAAACAATGCAAGAAGCCTCAAAAGAAGATGGAATATACAGAGTCATGGTACCAAAAAGAATTGGTCAACATCCAACCATTTCAGGAAGTAGCATATGATCAAAAACCAATGCTATTTAAGGAAGAAGTCCAAGCTGCACTGAAAGCATTGGCAAATAAAAGGCTTTAGGAATTGATGGAATTTCAATTGAGGTGTTTCAACAAAAGGATGCAACACTAGAAGCACTCACTCATCTAGGTGAAGAAATCTGGAAGACAGGTACCTGGCCAACCAACTGGAAGAGATCCTTATTTGTGCCCACTCCAAAGAAAGGTGATCCAATGGAATGTTGGAAATTATGTATTAATTATCATTAATACCACACACAAAATTTTGCCGAAGATAATTCACAAATGGTTGCAGCAGTACATCAGCAGAGAACTGCCAGAAATTCAAGCCAGATTCAGAAGAGGATGTAGAACAAGGGATATCATTGCTGATGTCAGGTGGATCTTGGCTGAAAGCAAAGAATATCAGAAAGATGTGGTGGTGGTAGTTAAGTTTGTGTGTCAACTTGGCTGGACCTGGTTGAGTGGCTGGACAGCTGGATGTAGTATTCCCCATGATGAGACTGGTAATCAACTCCATGGTGCCTTAGGGATGTGGTCTGCTTCCCATATATAAGGAGAAGCCTTGGGGAATGGTCTCTAGCTTATGGCACACTTGAACTCTGCATGTAGCCCTGTCATTGTTCAGTAGCCTGCCATGCTCTGCTGACCCCGGGACTTTCAATGGGCTTGAATTAATGGCCTGCTGTGTGGTTTGGTAACATTGGCCTGTGCTTTTTTACTTATCAACCTTGGGCTTGTCAGTCTTAGCAGCCAGTAGCTGTCTGAGTGAAGAAAAGCCTCTAGCTTCAGTGGGCCGGAAGCACAGGCAGAGCTGAAGCCCAAGGTTGAGGGTTGAGAGGCTTTCTCCCAGCCCCTAGAGCCTGGCACTTTGAACTTGGACTTAAAGCCTCCAAACCATAAGAGAATAATAAACTCTTGTTTGTGCAAGCCATCTCATTTGTGGCATATTCTTGTCAGAGCAGTACTAGGTAACCAGAACAAATGTTTACCTATGTTTTATTGACTATGCAAAGGGATTCGATTGTGTGAATCGTAACAAATTATGAATAACATTGAGAAGAACAGGAATTCCAGAACACTTACTTATGCTTAGGCTGAACCTGTACATAGACCAAGAGGCAGTCACTCAAACAGAACAAGAAGATACTGTGTGGTTTAAAATCAGAAAAGTTGTACATCAGGGTTGTATCTTTTCACTACACTTACTCAATTTGTATGCTGAACAAATAATCTGAGAAGCTGGACTATATGAAAAAGAACAAGGCATCAGGATTGGAGGAAGACTCATTAACAACCTGCGATATGCAGATGATAACCGTGACCTGAAGCTCTTACTGATAAAGATAAAAAACTACAGCCTTCAGTATGGATCACAACTCAACATAAAGAAAATAAAAATCCTCACAATTAGACCAGTAAGCAACACCATGATAAATAGAGAAAAGATGAAGTTGTCAAGGACTTCATTTCACCTGGATCCAAATATCAACTCCCATGGTAGTAACAGTCACAAAATCAAACAACATAGTGCATTGGGCAAATCTACTACAAAAGACCTCTTAAAAGTGTTAAAAAGCAAAAATGTTACTTTGAGGACTACTGTGTACCTGATCCAAGTCACAGTATTTTCAATTGCCTCATGCACATGCTAAAGCTGGACAATGGATAAAGAAGACTGAAGAACGTATGCCTTTGAGTTACGATGTTGGAAAAGAATATTGAATATACCATGGACCCATATATACCCATTAACCAACATGAATATGCCATGAACAAATCTGTCTTGGAAGAAGTATAGCCAGAATGCTCCTTTCAGAAATGAGGATGGCAAGACTTCACCTTCTGTTCTGTACTTTGGAAGTGTTACTGGGAGGAACCGGTCCCTAGAGAAGGACATCATGACTGGTAAAGCAGAGGATGAGAGAAAAAGAGGAAGACTCAACAAGAGGGACTGACACAGTGGCTGCAACAATGAGCTCAAACAGAGCACCTACTGTCAGAACCAGACAATGTTTCATTTTGTTGTACATAAGGTAACTATGAGTCAGAACCATCTGGAGGGCACCTACTAACAACAATATATATAACCACATACACACACACACAGCAGAGAGAACTGAAAGCTTACTGAAATAATATTAGCATCTTATATAACTTCATTCCTCTAAGGAAATCATACTATTTAATCTATTTTCTCTACAAATCCCACCAAATCTCTGTGTACCATTATGTATCATTTCACCCATTTTACAAATCAGGAACTAGCATGCAGCAAGCTGATAGGGTGATGTGCCCAGAGTCATATGGAAGTCACTGCCAAAACCAAGTAAGACCCCCAGTCTCCAAACTCCTAAATCAACCTTTATCCTCTCACATGACATAGACTCCATAATAAAGAACAGATCATTCATTTTTTAATCTGGAAACGTACCAAACGTATAATTTAGTAAGGGGCCTCATGACCCCACCACCTTGTCAAAGGGAAGAAAGCACATAAAAAATGAGGTTTGCAGGAGTGGTCGGTTTTGGTCTGTCAACTTTCTCTTGGATTACGCCCATTAACCAACATACAATAATGTAAAATACAATGTAACAGATCCCCACGTCCTAGGAAATTCAAGTTAAACTCACTGATCCTTCAAACTCTACTTATATACGATGCACCATGGGCAACTGTTAACTCCTGTGGGTCTGCAGAAGTGCACATTATGTCAATTAAATTTTTGAAAGAAAACTATGATACACAATTGGGCTGCTCTAGGAAGAATCCAAGTCAGCAATGAGCACTTGACTGTACAAATTCATAGCAGCACAGAACTGTGGACTCCAGAACAGCTCCAACAGGCCACTGGGAACAATCCCTTCATTTATTATATGAGGAAACAAGGTTCAGGGAGGTTAAGTGGCTAGTCCAAGGTTTTGCAGAGTTAGCAGAAGAGCAAGAACTAGAAAATGGACTTGCTAACTACTATATAGGAGTGGCACAAATGGTAGAGTGTTGGCCATAAGGAAGGAAAAAATTGAATGGGGAAAGTCCCCGGACTCCAGTAAACTGGTTCAGGTCCCAGCTTTAGCACAAGCTATGTGATCTCGAAACACGACTTTACATCTCTGAGTCCATTATTTCCACACCTGAAAAAAATCTACTTCACATTGATTGTGTGACAAGTGAGGCAATATATGTAAAGGAATACAAGATGATGTGTGGCACAAAAAGACATTCAACTACTTCTACACTCCATTTCCCTTTCAGCTATCTGAAAGCTTCATTCAGTCATTTCACTTAGGTCTCTGCTCAAATGTCACTTCCTTCCTGAACCTCCCTATCTACAATAACACACCCCAACATTCTCCATCTACCCTTATCCTGCTTATTTTTCTTCATATTTCTTATCACTACATGCCATTATATACGTATTTACTTCCTTTTCTGTTTACTGTGCCTCTTCAACTAGAATCTAAGTCCCACAAGGACAGTAACTTTTTGCCATCTGTTTTGTTTACTGCTCTCTCCCAGCAATTAGGAGAGTGCCTGACAAGTAGTGAGTGCTTGAATAAATATTTGTCAAAAGACTGAACTCATTAATTCAATACTTTCTTGCAACGTGTTATATGTGAGTGAGATACTGTATGAACAGAGACTTAAAGATAAGAAATGGTTCCCTATCCTCAAAGAGCTTCCAATCTAGAGAAGAAGAGTACATAAAAAGATAATTACATTAACAGTAAATAAATCCATAGCATTTCAACATCCAAAACGCTATAGGATTAAACAGAAGAAACTAATTCTGTCTGCTATTGAATCTGAGAAATTCACGTCTCACCTGGAATACTGCAGTGGCCTCCCAACTGTTCTCTCTGCATCCACCCTGTCCCCTACATTCCATTCATTAATCAGCAACCAAAGAGATTCCCACTTCCCTGCTTAAATCCCTCCAAAAGCATCCAAACTCCTTATAAAGCCCAAAGAATCAGCTTCTGTTGACTGGTCCAACCTCCATATAAATGTGTGTTATGTGTTACACATATATGTAAATATATAATACACACACACAAACAATTTCTCTATTTTATATATCGTAAACCACTGTCTCCCTCACTCAATTTCAGAAACACTGGCCTTGTTCTTTTTCAAACATGCCACGGTCTATTCTGACTCAGGGCCTTTGTGCTTGCCATTCCCTCTGCCTGGAATGTTTCTCCCCTAGGCTGGCTCTTCCTCATCATTAGCTCTCAGCTCAAATGCTATCTCTTCAGGATAAAATTGCCCCTTTCATCATCACCTCCTTTAAATCACTCTTTTGGATCCTATTGCCTTTTCTTTCTTCATAGGATTTCATTATCTGGAATGACTTTATCTGTCCTATCTTCTCAACTAGAATGCAAACTACAAAAGGACAAGGACTTTGTCAGGTTTACTACTATACAGCCCCAGCACCTAGCACATGCTCAAACTTAAACCAAACTTACTGCCATCGAGCCAATTTGACTCATGGCGATCCTTCCTTCGCTTTCCAAGGTGGTATCTCTACAGAAGCCTGATCTTCCTTCCGAAGAGTGGCTGGTGGGTTTCAACTGCCAGCCTTCTCTGGTCAGCAGTCAAATGCCTTAGGCACTATGCCACCAGAGCTCCCTAGCACACACTAGGTACTTAATAAATACTTCTGAATTGATAAAGTGAATCTCAAATGATGTCAACATTTTCCAGTATGAAAGGCAGAGGTGAAGTACGACTGGCCTAACAGTATCATGGAGTGCTGGTTTCCTTCCAAGGACAACTGCCCCATTTCATCAAATACATGCATTTCAGCCAAACTTACTTGGGAATGGGCACCCGAATTAATGTCCCTTCCACTTCTGGGTTCAGATTCATTCCACTTTCTCTTATAGCCTTGATAGCTGCAGCTGTACACTGAAAACCAGATCAAAAGGTAAACAGAATTAGTAAATAATTATTACCAGATGCAAGCCCTCTGTCGATAACTGGCAACCCATCTTGGCAGAACATGGAAACATTTAGTTCTGTTACCAGTAAGATCAGGAAGTTACATTGGTGTAGAGTGCTTTGATCAAGCTGAATAGCAAACTATGTCCACTCCTGGTACCAGTGTACTGTGGGAGGAAAGAAAGCAAAAAGAAGAAAAAGTAAAAGAAAACAGCTCTGCCTCTTTGAAAAGATTTCAACGGTTTGAGGCAACACAGATCAAAACCACAATAAATCCTCAAGGGAGGGGGGCTGTTCTGTGCAAAGATTGGTGTAAAGACAGATGAAAGATTTTATACATTAAAAATTTCGGTTGACATTTTACGCTCAAAATATACCAGTGCTGATTTGGAATGAGTAAATAAATTTAACTCATTCATATCTATACTTACCAAACTCACTCACATTTTGGAATGAACAATAAATCTCTACTACCAGGAAAGGAGGACCTCTGGTAGCACAGTACCTAAGGCACTTGACTGCTAACCAGAAGCCTGGCAGCTCAAACCTACCACCCCACTACTTGGAAGGAAGGTTGCGCAATCTACTTCCACAGTGATACCGCCTTGGAGACCCAAGGGGGGCTCACTATGAGTCGGGCTCAACTCGACGGCACATAACGACACAATACCACCAGGAAAGGTAGTATGGTATAGTAGCATGGGTTTTGGAGGCAGAGATATCAGTTCAAATCCCAGCTCTGCTAGCCATGTGACTCTGGGCAACAAGCCTGACTACTCTGAGCTTCCATTTCACAGTATCAGAAAAGAAGACCCTGTTGTAACTCCACCTCAGAGCAGACTAAATAAGATAACATGAACAACACATCTTGTTCCATATCTGGCACACAGTAAAAATCAAGGATGTTATTCTAGACACACGTAGTATATATTTACTATGATTGTGAGCATAGTGCAGGACCAGGCAATACATTGGAAATGACTTAGCAGCACCTAACAACAACATATATTCAATAATAAAAAAAGTACGAATACACAAAACACTCAGACAAGGCTGAGCCGATGTTACCATTCAGCTGATGCACATGTTGCCCAGCCTGCTCTCTTCCAGAGGTTTCTCTGACACAGCCTTGCTCTTCAGTGTGCGACACACTGGTACACTGATTTCCCAAGTGACTCACTTCACATTCAAACAACATTATAACTATACCTGGCATGCAATCCTAAAGGATTTCAAGAAACAGAGACACTTTCATTGGCGTAACAATGTGGAATTCATGAAAACAAGGCTTCTGGCATTTTCAAAGGAAGTTTAGGTTTGACCAGATCCACATTACTTAGAAGGAGCTCCAAATCATGGTACCAATTCCTGGTCTTGAGTTCTCCTAGAGTTCCGGGTGTGAATGAGTAGTGGTTGCTGCATACCTATTTTACTTTTCCAATTTTTTTTTTCAGGAAGTGCCAAAACTCTCCATCTCATTTTAAAATGACCTTAATTCTGCATCTGTTTCAGGCATTATTTTAAGTCAAAAAGACAAACCAGAACTTCCACATGAAGATGAATCATCTCCTTGGAAGGCTACACACAGATCTAACAGTACGGCCACTGCTTAAAATAATAAATTCTTAAAATGGCACCACTGACTACAGACTATCAAAGCTGTAAACAAAAATCTTTGACATAATCAAGTACAGCCTTTCCTTATGTGTATGAGGACCGTAGGACAAGGTCACATCCCTAAAAGTACCCATGGTCTTCCCGCAGAGCCCAAGAGAAGTCAAGTGAAGACTCCAACCATCATACTTTGAGTTACTGGCAGAGTTAGAAGGAGACTCTAGGCTCCCCAACTACAAGCCCAATGGCACTACTTTGCCTGTATTTTTTTCCAAATTCCCTAATTTATTCCAAAAATAATTTGGAATTACATCTAGTATATAAAGAGTTTATCAAAAAACCAAACCTGCTGCTGCTCAGTTGACTCCAAGTCATACTGACCCTAAGGGGCAGAGCAGAACCGTCCCATGGAGTTCCCGAGGCTATAAATCTTTACCGAAGCAGACTGCCACATTAATCTCCCACGGATTCGAACCCTCCACCTTTCAGTTAGCAGCTAAGTGCTTTAATCACTGCACTACCAGGGCTCCTGTAAAGTGTGTGGCCAAGTTAAATGAAAGAGCTGGGGAAAGAAATGAAATCTATTTTCCTCTGGAAAAAAACAGCCATCCTCCTTAATAAAAGGAACTACAGATCTGTAAGGTTAACAATAAAGGGAGAATGTCTACTTGGAAAGGTAGCCTGGTCTCAACTCTCCAAATCCTTCTCTTCTGAAGCTCTTCACTGAATGGCTGATTACTGCTGTAACATCCCACCATCACCACCTCTCTTTCACAGTCTGGCCCAAGTGTTTACATACACCCTACCCCTGTAGGCACTGGAGCGCCCAGTGCTGACACCAAGCTGGAACATTTAAACTAAATTTAGGGCACTTGGATGGCAAAAGGGAAATAAACATAAAGGGTAACATAAAACTCGATAGACTGGGTTATAACACAGCTTGTCCCCGTGTGGTTAGTGAACTACCACCTGAACTACTCATCAGAAAAATCTACATATAAAGAAAGTAAGATCCTCTCACTGAAAGAATGCTCACCAGTACCCCAGGGCAAATAGCTTGCTCTCCGAAGGCAACTGGTTGTAGCTGTTTGGAGTACTGTGCCAGATAGATCCCCGGTCCCCATCCGGGGTCAGGCAGGAAAGAGTACAGTGAGTGATCAGTTAGCAATGTCTGCATTGCTATTCTAAAGCTACTCTATGCTAAAGTACAAAAGATGATAAAACACTGTGAACAAGTGGAAACATTCTTGAGAGTTGGGATTTTGTTACGGTCTTTTTAATTCTTACTAACAGTCTTTAATTCTTTTGTTTGTTTTTTCTTTAAATTTTATTTATTTTGTTCTTGTTGAGAGTACACACAGCAAAACATACACCAATTCAACAGTTTCTACATGCACAATTCAGTGACATTGATTACATTCTTCAAGTTGTACAACATTCTCACCCTCCTTTTCTGAGCTGTTCCCCCCTCATTAACATAAACTCACTGCCCTCTAAGGTTCCTATCTAATTTTTCAAGCTGCTGCTGTCACTTTGAGCTAAGAGAGATAATTCTTAAAAGAGCACAATGCTCAAGGCAGACAGTTTCCTAGTTAAGCTGAACTATTATTGTTCAGTTTTAAAAGACTTTAGGGGATATATTTTTGTTAAAGGGTTAAAGATTATATCAAGGCAGTAATTTCAGGGCTTCATCCGCCCTACATGGCTCCAGAAACTTGAGTCCACGATAATTTAAAATTCTGTTCTGCATTTTCCCCTTTTGATCAGGATTCTGCTACTGAATCTTTGATCAAAACGTTCAGTACTAATAGCAGGCACCATCCAGTTCTTCTGGTCTCATGGCAATGGAGGCAGCTGCTCATGGAGGCAATTAGCCACACATTCCATAACCTCCTTCTATTTCTGACTCTTCTTCTTCCTCTTTGTTCTGGTTACCTAGTACCGCTCTGACAGGAATATATCACAAATGGGATGCTTGAACAAACAGGAGTTTATTCTCTTACAGTTCGGGAGGCTAGAAATCCAAGTTCAAAGTGCCAGGCTCTAGGGGCTGGGTGAAAGCCCCTCGACCTTGGGCTTCAGCTCTGCCTTTTGCTCCTGGCCCACTGAAGCTAGAGGCATCTCTTCACTCAGGCAGCTACTAGCTGCTGAGGCTAACAGGCCCAAGGTCGACAAATAAAATGGCAAATGTTACCAAAACACAGGGCAGGCCATTAACTCAAGTCCATTGTAAGTCCCAAGGTCAGCAGAGCATGGCAGGCTGCTGCACAATGACATGGCTACATGCAGGGTTCAAGTGTGCCATAATATAAAAACTATTCCCAAGGCTGCTCCTTATGTACAGGAAGCAGACCACATCCCAAAGGCAGCTACTCAGCTTCCTGTGGAAGATCCCACCATGGAGCTGATTGTCAGTCTCATGCAGAATAACTACCACCAGCTGCCTAGCCACTCAACAAAGCCCAGCCAAGTTGACACACAAACTGAACTACCACACTGTTGTTACAGGTGAACAAATGCCAAGTGTGCCTCAGATGACTGCTTGCAAGCTTTTAAGACCCCAGGCACTATGCAAAAAACTAGGAGGTAAAACAGAGGCACTAAACATATTATTAGGTCAATGAACTGGGAAGTCCCATGTAACCATGACTGTTAGGGTCTTTTCAATTACTGGCTTTCCAATTCCTTTATTTCCCTATGAGGCCCTACAATATAAGGTCTTAATTAGCCCTTATTCCCCAGTACCTCAAACAGAGCTTAATGAATTGCAGGAACTCAAAAAATATTTGTTGAATTACTGAATGAATGGTAAAAGGCTTTAGTGTAAAATAGACCTATAATGAAAGCTTGGCTCTACAACTTACAAGAGTCTGAACCTGAGGAGATATTTTACGTCTCTGAGCCTCAGTTTCCTCATCTATAAAATGGAATAAACTCTGGTAGCATAGTGCCTAAGGCACCTGACTGCTAACCAGAAGGCTGGCGGTTCAAAGCCACCAGCCACTCCTTGGAAGGAAGGTTGGGCAATTTACTTCTAGTGATACCGCCTCAGAAACCTAAGGAGGGGTTGCTACGAGTCGGGTCCAACTCCAGGGCACATAACAACAATTTTAGAGAATAGCTGTGTTGATCACATGACACAAAACACAAAAAAGGGTTTGGCAACACAGTAGATGCAATATACATTAGCTCCTTTCCCTCCACAAGAGGGAAAGCCTGAACATTTTCTTGTTTTCCTTCATTTGCCTTGTTTTGTTCAAATCATGCTGTGGTTTTTATCCCATTCTTTTCTTTCCCATCATTAACTCTAGCTGCAGGCAAGTTTATGGAAGGCAGCAACCGTGTGTATCATTTATCAAGCAGGACATATGTTAAACAAATGCAACACAGTTTCTGTCTTCAATGCATTTGAAAAGATTATGCATGTAAATCTGCATCGTGTCACTACAGCATGACACAGAAATGGTCAGGTTTGGAAAGAAAGCCAACTGCATGTGAAACAGAGAGGAATTACATAAACACAGAGAGGATTAGCTCAGCATTTTCAAACTATGAACCTGGGTACTCTATAGACAGCTTCTAAGCTAGAGGAAGGAAATGTTTAGTTAGAAATATTTGTTTAATGTATACACCAGATGAGATAAAGGAATTCAAAGGACAATGTAACTTACATTTCCTCACTCTGTCCCTGAAAATGAACCTTTCTACAAGATGCTTGTAAGGTTTCTTTCAAAACCCACAGAATTCCAACTTGGAGAAATGGATGCTTTGGTTGAAAAATGAAGACATATTCCAACTTCTTAAGAAAAAATTAAGCTGTTAGTACCTCCTACTGCCTCAAAAAGTGTTCTGGTGGCCAATCAGGTGATCCTTCTGTGCATGCCATTTACTATGTAATAATGGAAGTGGTTAGCTCTGAAAAGCAATCTGCCTGACATGGTCTTCGGTCTTCGAGCTGCCTAATTAGGAGACTATGTCTTAAACTGGCCTGCAGCGCCTATGGGATTAGTTCAGGGCATTGAACTGATCCAGGAGCTCTGGTGGCATAGTGGTTAAAGCACTCAGCTGTCAACCATAAAGGCTGGTAGTTCCAAACCCACCAGCTGCTCTGTGGGAGAAAGATGAAGCAATCTACAGCCTTGGAAACTATATGGGGCAGTTCTATTCTGCCCGAAGGGCTGCGGTGAGTCGAATCAACTCAATGACCCTGGGGGGGGCCAAACTGGTTCATTCCAGTTTGACCCTACTGCTGAAAATTTGCTTTCCACCCCAGATACAATGAATCAGAATCTACATTTTAATAAGAAAATGTAAATGTAGATTCTGATTCAATACATCTGGGATGGAAAGGCAAATTCTCAGCAGGTAGTCAAACCAGTCTGAAGCCCTGGATTAAATGAATAAGGGGAGAGGCCTCAATGGTTCAGGGGGGACCAGAAAGAAAAAGAGTTGACAGTTCCCTTTTTGTTTATTTTGTTGCTTCTCAGAATCATCAAGAATGAATGCCCCCTTCCCTGAAATTAAAGACAAGATTCATCCAATCAAGGAAAATCTACTGAGTGTTTCCATGTGCCAGGTACTATTGTTAGTTGCTGAGTACAATGAATAAATCAGGTAAGATTCTTACATTTCAGAGTTAAAATTTAGTGAAAGTGTGATGAAGAATAAACATGTAAATACATATGTAATTATCAACAGTGATAAGTATAATGAAGAAAAAGGATGGTGCTATATTAGAATGCTTAATGTGGAGGAATAATTTAGATTGGGAAGATTAAGGGAGGCTTTCCTAAGAAAGTGATATTTAAGCTATGCTCTGAAATATAATCATAATATCATATATGCTATGACATAACAGCAATTAGCCAGGCCAGAGTGTTTAAGCAAAGGCAACAGTATATGCAAAGGTCCTGAAGATGGAGAGAGCTTGGTAGGTTTGGTGAACTGAAAGAAGGCCACTGTAGCTACAGAGGAGCCCAAAGATGACAGTGGTACAAGAGAAGACTGGTAAGACAGGTGGGGCTAGAACATAGAAAGTGTTCTAGACCACAGTAAGGATTTGGACTTAAAGATTATTTGATGCCACTGATAAATTTAAAGCATGGGATGATATGATTCAGTACATATTTTTAAAAGCTCACTTTAGCTGCAATATGGAAACTGGAATGAGGGACAGTATGCCTGCCACAATAGTGACAAGAGCCCTCTGATTTGAAACAGTTTGTTCACAGCAAGGACTTTCCCTTTCTCAAATCTCTGCCCAAGTTTGTCAAATCCAGCACACCCAATTTTGGTCTATGTCTTTGGGATGGGACTACTGATACAGACAATCAGAACAGGAAAGAATTTTAGGCTAAAGAGATGAGGAAATGGAGGCCCAAAAAGTGAAGCAACTTGCACAAGGACAAACAGCCAGATGGTAGTAGGAATAGGACCAGATCCCAGTCCCTCCAGTATGTCTGATGTAGGCCAATTCCTACTGGACCAATAAGCCCTTCAACCAGACTAAGAAGCATAAAGTCTCAAGGTTGCCATGATTGAATGCAACACACTTCCAGCCTTGGCAGCACTGTGTTGTATGTGATGTCCTGCAATTGTCAATCCAGTTTGAAAGGACTGAGAATTCCTGAAGGGACTGCTCCAAACACTAATGCAGAGGTCACAAACTGATGGCCCTCAAGGCCTATCTGGCCCATTAATATATTTTGTTTGCCTCACAGTCTTTAAAAAGAGAAGTGAATTCGTTATCAACATTTAGCAAATAAAGATCTCACATAAAAATTTAGGTTACCAGTTTTTTCTGGAAAGAAAAATCACAATATCCAGGAACACTGATTACCAGGGCTTCATTTCTGCCTGGTAATAATCAGCAGGAACTGGCCCAGGCCACCCCCTTCAGACAGGACACAGGCTTTTCAGTTTACTACAGCCCTCTCGACATCACTGCAGGTGCCAATCACTGCATTTCCACTCTTGTTTTTCTTAGATGTGGCCTGTTTCACTGTCCAAATTACTTGCCTGGCCCCTATAGCATCTGAGTTTAAAATAAAATGAATTTGAAATGGGAAGAGGGCTTTTCTTTATCCTTAAGTCTCCTTTACTATGTCTCCTCTCTTGTTTTATCCCAAGCTGCAGAAGAACCTCCTCCTGACCTGACCCAGCTGCTTCCATTCCAAAAAAGTCTGTGGAGAGGGACCCTTGCAGTAGGCCACCTTACCTCTGGGAAGCTGGTCATGTTCACCAAAATCAGCTGTGGCGACTGCATGGAGATCTGGCCAATCTGGTTTAAAGCAAGTTTCCCATCAGCAGTTACCACAGTAATATGATCAAGTGATCCTAGAAGAAAAAGTACAGGATCTTAGCATTCAGAGGAGCCTTAGTATCCCCACATCTAAGTCCTATCTAAATCAGATCCAACTGAATTCTAATTAAGATTTACTCTAGTATTTATGGATCCTTTATCAATATGCCAAGACTATTCAAGAGGCTTTTGTAGCCAGCAGCAGTATCATGTGATGAAAAGAGCCCTGAATGCTGGCAGAACTAGATTGAAATTCCTTACCAGCAACTAAGGTGACCAACTCTCCTGATATGCCTGGACCAGGTTTCCAAGGACAGAGAAACTTCAGTACTAAAACTGGGAAGCTGGTCACCCCTCTGGCAACTCTACCATCTACTTGCAAGCTACGAAATTTCCAGCAGGTTTACTTGCCATCTCTGTGCCTTGGTTTCCAACTCAGTCAAAAAATAACTACCTTACAGGATTTAATTGATGATTATATCTAAAAGATATCAAGTATATAATAAGCAGTAAAATATGTACACACACAAAAAGGTACCTCTTGTTATCTCTTTTAGCTCTTGCATTCACCCTGTAACACTGCATTACTGTCCCTACTTTACAGATGAGAAAAATGAACTTAAATGAGGTTAAATACCAGCTGGAGATCGTGGAACTAACAAAAGGAAAAACAATCAAGCACCACACCCAAACTCAGGGTGCTAAATTCCAGTTCCAGTCGGGGCTCTTTCTCTGTACCAAACCCAAAACCCAGTGCCATCACTGAATTGATTCCAACTCATAGCAAAGACTTGCCCCATCAGGTTTCCAAGGCTTTTACATTTATGGATGCAAACTGCCACATCTTTTTCCCAAGAAGCGACTGGTGGGTTCAAACTGCCAACCTTCCAATTTGCAGCTGAGTGTTTTAATCACGGTGCCACCAGGAGTCCTTCTCCCTTCTACCTGTCCAGCTCAAATTGGGCTATGCATCTAAATCACCAGGGAGCATTTTAACAAAGATTCCTGGGCTCCACCCCCAGATATTCTGATTCTTTAGGAGCTTGGGGACCTGTGATTTTTGGGGAGGCTGCAATTCTTTGTCTAAGTTCACTATGATCTATGATTGTGACACGCAGCCATCCCTTACACCACCTTGATTTTGGCACTTAGGTCCCCTTTAGAAACAAGTACCTTTTAAAAACAAACAAACAAAACAACACTACTTAACACTTCACTGTTTTCCTAAATCTCACCATTTTTATTACTATTTGGACTCTGAAAAACTCTGAGCAGAATTTTCAGAAATCCAAGAAGCCAAGCAAATACAGGCAGTTACAGATAGAAAAAGGGCATTATTCAAACTCCCTGATTTACTATGCAAACGAGAACTAGAAGAAAAACCTTACCATTCAGAGTAGGAGCCACTCCTGGATGGCTCATTCTGAGACACAAAGGGCCGGGGCAGGGGTTAGAATGAGTCTTTTAAACAAATTAGAATCGTCTTGACAAATTCCTGTCAGAATAACCAGTACCATACTATGGCCCAAAGATCTGATTTGTCATACTCGACAAGATTCGATGTCATCACAAGGTAGAAGGTTGCTGACATCACTAGCTTTGACCTGGAAAAGTCCAGGAGGTATAATGGTAAGAATCTCCATGATGCTGAAGACAGATGACTGGGGTTCAAACACCAACTCCACCACTTCCTGATAGTGTTACCCTTCACCTTTCCAGATCTCCATTTCCTGATCTAAAAATGGGGCATAAAGATTGCACTTATCTCATATGGCTGTTGTTGTTGTTATTGTTATGTGCCGTC